CGGCGCGCGCCCCCGCGCTGGCAACAAGCGCGCGGGCGCGCCCAAAGCAAGCCATGGCCGCCCTCGTCTGCAAGTAGCCTGCTGCCTCTCGCTCGCGTTGCGCTCTCAAGGCTTCCGTGGATAACGTCGTCTGTTGCGATCGTGATAACGTTGTGCTAGTGATCTGTGCATCTCAACGCCAGGTATATCGCGTTTCGGCCGGCTGACCCCCGTCAGCAGGCCAGGTCTTCCTTATGGCGTTCGGGGTTGCATCAGATTCTTTGCCTGCCGCCGTCTGTGTTCCGTCCGCGCTCTGTGGCCTCCGACGTGCCCGATGGCGGCCAACCTTTTTTTTGTGGCCCCAGCCTACAGACGATCGAGAAACATATGGTTCCCTTAGCCTCTGGGGGCCCCTGCGTTTCTTCGGCCAGCTCTGGCACTCGCGAGGACGAGGCGGGCTGTCCATTTTTGAAACGTGAAGCAGAGCATCGGGTGGAGAGTGCCGCACTTGCGATGCCATCGGCATGCGGGCTCAAGTGCACCCACCCCGCGTGCCGCCCGCATCTATCAACCCGTTTTCGTTTGGGGGTTGCGTCAGATTCTTTGCCTGCCGCCACCTGTGCTCCGTCTGCGCTCTTTGGCCTCCGACGTGCCCGATGGCGGCCAACCTTCGTTTTGTGTCGCCAGCCTGGCTCGTAGACGATCGAGAAACATATGGTTCCCTTAGCCTCTGGGGGTCCCTGCGTTTCTTCGGTAAGCTCTGGCACCCGTGAGGAAGAGGCGGGCTGTCTTTCTCCTCTTCCTCCCTGTACTGTCCTCGAGCTACTGTTCTGCTCCTGGGGGCCACGATTTGTCCGCCCTGGCCGGCGCCTGCGGTGGTTTGGACTTTAAATTTGTTTTCGGACGTACTGGCCTATCCTCGGATGTAGGCGTGCGCCCGAGACTGTCTGACAGCCGTCGCCGTCCTCTTGCCAATGGTCGGGTCCTGGTTCGTGCCCCCCTTCACGATCGCGTGCTGCCCCTCCTGTTTCATATGCTCCTCGGTGCACTTGTTGACGCTTCGCGTATCCCCACCAGAACGGTCGCACCCCTTCTCGCGTGCAAGGTGGCTCGCAGCACCGCGCCTGTCGCTTGCGTCGGGTCGCTGGCTAGGCTGTCGCCCCCGTGCGGTATCCGCCTCGCCGTGGAGTCGCTCTCCGTGATCGGCGGGCCTTGTCGCGCCGCCGACGTGAGGTGACATTCCAACTCATCAGCCATTTCGGTGTGCATCGAGGCCTTCCTCCTGGTCTTCGTCGGCTCCGGTTTGAACTACCTGTTCTTCAGCGTCGTTTTCTCCGCCTGAGTGGCAGCGTAGCCCGCTCCTGCTGCTTCGGGCCTAATTTAACCCGCTGCTCGTTAGTTGCGCGTTTCCGGACAGCGCGCGGTTGGACCGCGACGCTCGCGAATAAAAAAGTATCCCCACCAGCCTTCCCCGCCATTTTGGCGTTGCATCCCGGCTGGCGGCGCCCCCCCCAGTCGACGGTGCCCTCCTCTGAGCGGCAGCGAGGCCCGCCTCCTGTTTGAACCTCCCTCCGCTGTCCTGTCGTTGCCTCCCTCTTCCCCCTCTTGCTTGCGCAATTTAGTTCGTGGCCCGCTAGCCACGACTCTCGGACGGCGTCCGGCGTTCCCGGTGCGCCTGCGATCAAGAGTATCCCCACCAGCCGATCCAGAAACAATGCCCACGGGAGTTGAGGTGATCAGAGAGTGGGGGAGCATTCGGAAAAACGAAGGGCGTGGGAAGCCGTCATATACCCCAAGAGGGAGAGGATGGAGGATGACTCGTCGTCGTCGTCGTCGTCGTCGTCGTCGTCGTCGTCGTCGTCGTCGTCGTCGTCGTCGTCGTCGGGGGAGGAGAAGGACGAGGTGGAGGAGGAGGAGGAGGAAGAGGAGGAGCAGGAAGAGGAGGAGAGGAGGAGGAGGAAGACGACGAGGAGGAGGACGAGGACGAGGAGGAGGAGGAGGAGGAGGAGGAGGAGGAGGAGGACGTGGAGGAGGGCGAGGGCGAGGATGACGAAAAGGAGGAAAAGGAGGAAAAGGAGGAAAATGAGGGAGAGTCTGGTGCCTCTGGGATCCTCGTGAGGCTTCGTATGGGGTCTTTTGGGAACCTCTTGGAGGCCCCTCGGGGCTGCCTGGGCGCCTGTTGGGGCCCTCTCTGGCCGCCCTTGGGAGCTTTAGGGGCGCTTTTGGGGCCATCTTGGAGGACGTCGATCAAAAAAGAGGGAAGTTCCAATTAGTGTCCCCCTTCGGGAGCACTGAACATCGCCTCCTGGACCCCTCTTGGAGCGCTCTTGGGGCCGTCTTGGGGCTCTCCTGGGGCTCTCCAGGGGCTCTTTTGGGACACCTTGAAGCAATCTTGAGGCTTCGGTTGGCCATGGGAAACGCAAAAGCGAGAAAGCAAACAGCATTGTCTTTTGTAGGATTTTGGCTTCTTGGGGGCCTCCTTGGAGGTCTCGGATGCCTGTTTGGAGCCGTCTTGGAACGTGCTTGGGGCCTCTGTGAGCATCTTGGGAGCCATCTTGAGGCATCGTGTGCTATCTTAAGCCATCTTGGAGCTCATCTTGGATTCGTGGGCCCTCTTGAAGCCGTCTTGGGCCATTTTGGACGCTCCAACGCCTCGCGCCCCCCTCTCCAGGTCCAGGGGAGGGGGTAGGGGGAAGGGTCTAGCTACCCACCCGCCCGCAAGCCGTCTAGCTCACTCCCACCCGCCCTCCCGACACATAAGTAACACCCGAGCCTGAGCATGTTCAGCGGTTGATGGACAGCTACTGGGAACCAACGCCGACCCCAGGTGCGCGACGCTTGGGCGAGGTGCGCAACGCGTGCCAGGGGCGCCACGCGCGCCAGGCACCCCTCGGGCCCGAGCGTGCCAGGCACCCCTGGTGCGCCAGATGCGCCACTTGCTCCGAGTGCGCCATGTGTGCCGCACACTCCAGCCGCGCCAGGTGCGCCATGTTCAGGGCACGTGCAGAGTGCGCCAGCTATGCCTGCGCACGTGACGGCACACATCGGGAAACATGTCGGCCCCCGCCATCTTTGTCGAAAACCAATGCCCATTATTGTGTCTGGTTGGCCTGCGCACAGCAGGCCACGCGCCACCACCCCCGCCGTCCCTGTCAAAAACAATTCGGCAGTGATCGCGGGATGGCCGCGCATGATCCAGATTTAGCCGCGAGGTGCATTTTTGGGGGGTCGGGGATGGTAGCCCTGCGCGTAGCAGGAAAATATGCTGGCCCCCCCGCAGTCCCTGTCAAAAACAATACAAAGTGTTCGCGGGCCTCACGAACATGATTCAAGACTTTGCCCTAAAGTGTACTTTGCATTGTTTTTTGTCAGGGATGGTGGGGGGGCCGCATCGGGTTGGCCGCGCATGCTCAAAATGTGGAGGCAGAGTATTGTTTTTTGATAGGGATGGTGGGGGGCGGGCCCGCATGGAGTCGGCATGGTTCCTGGTTGGTCGCCGGCCAGGTGGGGGAGGGGGTGAATATTAATCAGGAGCAGCGAAGAACCCTTCCCCGAAGGGGAATAAGAGGGTTGGAAGAGGAGCCTCCCCGAGACCATCTACGCCCAGAAGGCTGGTGGGATTGCGCACCATGGTCCCGACGTCATCAGCTGAAAGGGGCGCCCTCTTCAACAGCTCCTCGTACAGGTTCTCAGTAGTTTCTCCAACTTGTCCACGCGGGGCCTGGTACTGATGATGCTCGCCTCGACGTCCGCAAGCCGATGGCAAATCGTCTCGCCGAGAGTCGTGAGCTCGAGCTTGAGCTTCCTGAAATCCTCCCGCCAGCCCTCACAACTGACGTTACGGGGTCAACTGCCTCAATGCCCGACATCGTCACTGGCTCCGTCAACGGCTCTCCCTCCGTGCCATTCGGCAGTGCGGTTTCTGTAGCGGCGTCGGCATTCGAGAAGTTTGTTTGGCTGCCGAAAGGGGCTTCCGAGTCGTTTATACTTCTCCTCGTCGTCCGAGAACAAGTCACCGTCCATCTCGTGCAGGGGGCTCCTGAGGCGGGCCCGCTTGTCGGCGGGAGTGGCAAGAGGCACAACTTCGACCGGCGCTGCCTCATAGGACGAACTGCCAAGTACTCCACACACTGGAGTGCCCGGCTGTCGAGTGTTCATCGCCATCATGGAGTGTTCGACAGAGATTCGAGTACAATCTGAAAGGGCGAATGTGTAGGGCGGAGGAAGCCTTGATACTTTGTCTTGAGCTAGAGCCAAGATCGAGGCCAACATCGAGAAAATGCCCGCCGATTGAATAAGCAGATCGCGGGAGATGTGGGTTCAGAGCCTTGTCGTCTCTGTCATCGTCTGCCCTTGTCGTCGCGAGAGCGGTCCCCAGACCCCCGACGTCATGATTTTCATGACGTCGACACCTGGAAGTCTCGGCCCGATCCCCGGAACAGTTCTTTCTTTGGTTCTGTGCGGCCCCAAGGGCTTGGCGAGAGCCCCCAGAGGCTGACAACTGTGCACAACCGCCCGTCTTCATGTCTTCATGACCCGAGGGGGTCTGGGTCCCTGGCCCTCTGTGGCTCCTCCGCCCCAGGGGGCGCTCGGCACCCTCGGGGCTGGCACGGTTTCTCTCTGCCGCGGCGGAGGTTCGCGAGGCCCGCCGAGGCGTCAGCACGGGGCTGGTCGTGGGGGCGCCTCTTGGTGCTGTCACAGGTGTCCTCCCCTCCCCTCCCCTCCCCTCCCCTCCCCTCCCCACTTCGAAGAGATCCAACGTACTGAGGCAGAGGAGAGGGAGGTTTCTCGCCGTGTTCCCTCTCCAGAGGCCCTCGCGGGGCCCCGTGACTCCAAAACCGATTCGGGATGAAGATCCGGCCGTGGGGAAAGGGTCGAGACTTCCGGGGAAGCCGTGTGGAAGAAATCAGGACATCGGATCTCTGGGTCGTTCCGTCCCGTCACGACAGGCAGATTTTGGCAATTTTCGGCCTCCGTGGGCCCTCGCCGAGCAACGAGGTCTATCAAAAACGGCTCAAGATGAGAAGCTGGTCCTCGGGAAGGGGTCCGGATATTTGGAGGTCGATGTTATGGAACTGCTACGGCGTCGGAGTTCTGCCCCCCCCCTCTCGATTGGAGCATCCGACGCGAGCCCGCCAAAAGGTGCCTCTTCGTGCTGCTGCTCTCTCGGGCACCTGATTGTTGCGTTGCCTCTTTAAACTGTAGTCGTGGGGTGGCCACACCAGCACTGGATCAGGCTTCTGCGCAGCCCTGTGTGTCCCTCGCGTGCTGTCTGCTGTCTTCGAGTTCCCGTCTTCCTCGCCAGAGTATCACCGTCTCCGCGCAGCCGCTTTTATCTGGCTCGATTGGCTGAAGCCCTCTGCATACCCTGGCAAAGCTGCCGTTTGGCTCTTCAGGCTCCGACGTATTTCCCTTTCTCAATCCTCGCAGTGTGAGTGGTTGAGGTCGTTCCTGAAGTGGCAACCACTGCCAGCTTTCGCACTCCATGCTGCGTGCGCGCGCGCGCGCGCGTGTGTGTGTGTGTGTGAGTGTGTGTGTGTGTGTGTGTGTGTCTGTGTGTGTTTGTGTGTGTGTGTGTGTGTCCGAGGGGCGGCCGATCCGATAGTCAGGACGGGTAGGGCAATGAATGTCCACTGGAGGGGGCCAGTGGTCAACATATGGGGCACTGGCCAACGAAGACCCACATCTGTCGACGTGCAAACGTATTACTACGTACCTTTAAAACCTCAGGGCCTGTAGGAGAGAGCGGAGGGGGAGGGAGATGGAAGGAGCCGGCAGTTCGACGACATCCCGTTCCATAATTGTCAATTGAGAGAGGAGAGAGAGAGAGAGAAGGATAGAGAAAGCGAGAGAGAGAGAGAGAGGGAGAGACAAGAGAGAGAGAGAGAGATGAGAGAGAGAGATAAGCCAGCGCAGACTCCAAGTGTATGAGAAGACGTGAGTGGACTGGAGTGGACTGAAGTAGACTGGACTGGAGTAGACTGGATTGCACTTGGTTGGACTTGGTTGGACTCTCCTGCACTCTACTCCACTCTACTCTGCTCTGATCAACTCTACTTCTCTACTCTTCTCTTCTCAACTCTATTATGTTTTGCTCCACTCTACTCTAACCCGCTCTATTCCTTATCGGCTCTACTCTACTTTACTCCTCTACCATCTACGCAACTGTATTATTATTTCCTCTACCCTACTCTACCCGACCTACCCGACCCTATTATAATATGCAGTATGCTCGCCTTCATCCTACTTCTTTTTTTACTCAACTCTACTCGTAGTCTACTACGCTGTACTCGGCTCTACTGTCCTTTACTCTACTCTGCTCTGCCGTACTCTTCTGTGCCTTCTACTCAACTCCTTACTTCTCGATTGTTCTCTGCCCAACTCTGCTCTACTTCACTCTATTCTACCCTACCCTGCTCTACTCTACACTATCATGCTATACTCGAATATACTATAGTTAACTCGGTTATACTTTAGTTATACTTCATTCTACTCCTACTCTCTTACACTCTTCTCAGCGCCGCTGTCTTCTAATCTTATGCTTTTTTTCTCTACCATACTATCTTCTACTCCACTCTGACCTACTCTACTCATCTACTCTTCTCTGCTATTATATTATGCCCGACTGTCCTGCCATCTACCCTACTCTACTCTGCTCTATTTGATCCTACTCTACCCTGCCCGAACCTACTCTACTCCACGTTACTTTCCTCTCATTAATTTTCCTCTCCTCTCGACTCTATCCTTATGTATATCGATACTCCTTCTCTGCCAGAAAACCGGTCGATAGTTAACTGGATCCGGGAGCCTCTTCTTACCAGTCAACATTCAATTCGAACCAAGGTTTCTCAATCCAATATGGGCTTTCTGTCGTCGACGCTGCAAAATGCGTGGCAGGAGTGGGGCGCGGCGCGCATCCCGCGCGAACGGCCGACATGTCGCTCTCGCCTCGGCGCTGCGCTGCGCTCATTTTTCTGTGCGCGGCGCGCTTTCTGTACGCAACATCGTCGACGTGCGAGCGGGCGGACGGAAATGTCTCTCTCGCCTGGGCACCGCGCAGATTTCGCCTGAAAGTGGCGCTCCCGCCTCGACGCGGCGCATATGTTTCACTCGCCATTTCATGGGGACCCGCGCGAGTGGGCGACTTTTCGCCCTCGCCCAAGCTTCGTGCGCATTTCTCTCAGAGGTGACGTTCCCGCGCAGGCGCGGTGCTCGCCCGATCTCATGACAGCGACAGCGGCAGCAGGGCCGCGCGAGAGTGGGCGAAATGCTGACCTCGTACATGCGCCGCGCAGTTTGGGAGTGAAAGTGTCCGTGTTGTGTCAGCACTGCGCATGCTTCGTCTTCGCCCACCCCATCGGTAGTTTTTTCCGCTCCTGCCCCTGCGCGGACCGCGGAGCCGCGCGCGAGCGCCTTCCGTTTGCGAGGGGGGGGGTTATAATCTCAATAGCAATTTTTGCCACAATCAATTCGTATCTTTTTGGTGGGAGAGTGGGGATAGGCGGGGTCTTCTCACTCGCTCGTCCTGGCCAACTTGCCTCTACTCTACTTATGGTTTACGATCCTCTCCTCTACTCAGCTCTGCCGTGATCTGCTCCACTTTACGTTGCTCTGCTCTATTATGCTCGACTCTTTTCATATACTCTTCTTTTCTCTGCTCTACTCCGCTCTACTCTAATCTACTCTTCGTCTGAGTTTGAGGATTGTTGGGCGATTTGTTGGGATGCCATGAAAATAGCCGCAGGAAGCTATTGGAATAGCAGAGGAAGCCATGCGAATGCAGAGGGAGCCATGGTGATAGCAGAGGAAGCCATGCAGATACAGCTGATTCCGTGCGGACGCAGAGGAAACCATGCGGGTATGCCGGAATCGGAAACCGTAGGAATAGCAGAGGAAGTTCTGTAGACATGTAGGAAGACATGCGGCTAGCAGGTGAAACCTTACGGTTACCGGGGGGGCGTGCGAATGGCAGAGGAAGCCATGCGGATACAGGTTGAAGACACCGTTCGGACAGCAGAGGAAGCCATGCCGATACAGAGGAGGCCGTACGGATATTTTGACCGTTCAAGAGCAACTTAGAGGGGGGATCAGAGGACCAGCTCTCTATGCCATTGACCCAGGACTCCTGTGCGCACGCACTTTTGGATCATAATTTGTGTTTCTTTCACGCAGCGTGTGCGCGGGCGCCGTCGCCATGCCCGCATCATTTATGCATGCTAGTGTATTCGATCTTTGGGGCTGGACCGTCCTCCGCGGGACTCCGGCCTAGCTTCGATTGCTGTGGCATTTTTCGGCTTGCTTGCCGAGCAGCGGGCCTGCCGATAGGAAAGGATTCGAGTTCCTACCTGTGTCACCTCCGCGCGATCACGGATAAACATATTGAGTGCGGCGGAGGCGCCTTGGAGTGGCGGGACCAGGCGAAGAAGTTGCAGCGCTGTTTCATGGAGCGGAAGAGGTGCCCAACCACGGCCACGTCGTTTTGCCCAATCGAACGCAACGCGGGATACAACGACTTCGACTCGCTGCAGTGGGTGCGCGGATGGTCGGGCGAGAAAAATGTATATGCACTGTTGCAAGACCCCTGTGGTCTCGGCGCACCTCCGCGCGCCGAGGGTGCGGGGAAAGCACCCCGAAAGAAACTTCACAGAGCCGCTGCCGCGGCACAGCAGAGACAGAGCGACTGAGGAGAGACAGAGCGACAGACGCGGAGGACGTGGAGGAGACAGGCGCGGTGGGCAGCGTTGGGCGGCGCTTCCCTGGGCGCTGGCCCTGGGCGGCCGCGGCGGCTTCGGGTCGGCGCGCTGGCTGCTGGGCTATCTCTGCCATTCCTCCCAGGTTCAGCGGGCGCAGGGCGGTCCTCATTGGCTGAGGCGTGGTTGGGCTGGCCCTCCGGCGGAGGCTCTCTGGCGGCATCGGCGATCCTTTGGGTCAGAGCTCCAGGGTGGCTCTGAACGCGTCGCACTTGACGCGTAGGCGGGCGCCAGAGGCGGGCGAAGACTCCGTCGGTCCGCTAGAGACGGGCGCCAGAGGCGGGCGAGAGTTCCGACGGCCCGTCAGCGACAGAAGGTGACAGTAGCCAGGATACTCTGCACTTGTCTGATAGTTCACGTAGTTTGGCAATGACAGCCTTTCTTTGCCTCGGGGCGCGGGCTCGCCAGGCCCCCTCGGTTCATAGGTTCAGTCTCGCGATAGCGTGCCCCAGTACATGTGACAGAGCAGTTGTAACCATAGAGTGTGCCGGTTGCAGCCCCCCCAGTACAACGCATGCGCGCAAGTAGGTTGCGCCTTGGCCCCAGGCTGGGGCGGCTCTTTTCAGAGCCGCCTCGCGCACGAGTCATGTGTGTGTGTGTGTGTGCGTGTGTGTGTGTGTGTGTGTGTGTGCAAGACGGCCCAAACGGGATTCCCTCGGAGTTGCCGCCTCCCTTGGACCTGCAGCCTTCGGGTGAGCCGTCCGCCCCGGACACGAGCGTGTACGACTGCGACGCTGGGTAGCACCAGTGCGTGCACTGCTTATGCTGACGTGGTCGCCCCAGAAGATCCAGTGCTGCTGCGCGAATTCTCCACAAGGGCTGCGAGGGTGAGGAGCCAGAGTGGGCGACCTTCCAGAGCGGGCGGTCGAACCCCTCGATGAGCAGCCAGCCGCGGCAACTGTGCCAGGTCGGCCAGGGTGTATCGAAGGCACCTGCGGCGAATCATTGCCGCCCCCTGTCTTTTAGGATACGGATAAGGGCCTAAGTGGCGAAACGTTTGGGCAAAGTTTGGCCACACAATTGGACCAGGCGTTCCCCCGACCGTTGTGGGAGCCCTTCGGGGAACACGTGGTGGAGGAAAAGGAGGATGAGGAGAGGGAGGGAACAGGAAGATGAGGATAATGATGAGTAGAGACTTCTTGTGAGCTTCTTGGGGCCTCCTTGGAGCTTCCTGGGGGCCCTGTTGGAGGCTTATTTGGGGCCTCCTTGGAACTCTTGGGGGCCTTTCGGGGGATTCTTGGGGGCCCTCAGTGGCCGTCTTACGGCGTTCCTGGCGCCGTCGGAAGCCGTTTTGGGAGCCTCTTTGGGCCGTCTTGGGGCCCGTTGGGGGCGCTTCAGGGTCGTCATGGAAACCATTTTTTTAGGTGCCTTGGAGGCCTCTTGGGCCGTCTTGGGGCCCTTTGGAGGCCGTCTTGGGACCTTTTTGGGAGCCTCTTTGGCCGTCCTGGTTCCATCTTGGAGGCCTCTTGGGCGATCTTTGGGCAATCGTGGGGGCCTCTAGGGCGGTCTTTGGCTGTCGGGAGGTTCGTTCGGAAGCAAATGCCCAACTCCTTTGAAAACCACATCAGGAACGTCAATGATTGTGGTCTCTTCGGGCCTTCCTGGAGGATCTCTTGGAGGCCTCTTGAGCTCTCTCGGGCGCTTCTTGGGCCGTCTCTCTTGCACCATCTTGGTGGTCTTGGATGCATATTGGGACCGTCTTGGAGGTCATCGTGGAGCCATCTCGAGCTCTCTTGGGGCCATCGTGCCCATCTTGGAGGCCACATTAGCCGTCTTGGAGGGCATATTGGGGCTGCTTTCACACCAACAAGCCACTCTCCGACATTTCCCCGGGCTTTCCGGGCGGCCAGCGGGTTGGGCCGAAGCCCCATGGGGACTTCTTGAGAAAAGAACCGAAAAGTTGCCAGAAGTTTTGCACGCCGTGCACCCCTGCGGCAAGACCGCAGGAGGCGGCGGATCTAGTGGCCTTCGGCCCATATTGCCACCGTGCCTGGGTTGTGGGTCAGAGGCTTCTTGGAAGCTTGTTGGGGTATCTTGGGAAGCCTCCGGGGAGCCTCTCGGAGGCAGTTTTGAATCCTTTTGGGGCCTCATGGGGGCTGTTTGGGGGATTCTTGAGGACCTCTTGGGGCCTCTTGGGGGCATCTTGGAGGCCTGCTGACGTTCTCGGGGGCCCCTTTGGGGCGGAGGGCTCGAAATCTCCGTTCGAGTATCCCATCTTGGGCCCATCTTGAGACCCTCTTGGGGCCCTCTTGGGGCCTTTGGGGCCATCTTGGGCGCCCTCTTGGGCCGTATGTTGGGGCCCTCTTGGGGGACGAGTTGGGGCCCTCTTGGGGGACGAGTTGAGCCTCTGGGCCCTCTTGTGGATGCTCTTGGGGCTCTCTCGGGGCATCTTGTGGGCCACTTGGGCCGCCTTGGGGCCACATGGGGCCGTCCTGACGCTGTGTTGGACCCTTCCAGTGCATTCTTTGGTTATGTGAGGTGGTTTTCGAGATCCTCTCGAGGGTTCCCGGCGGCTCCCAAGAGCTGCAGGGAGCTCCCTGGAGCTCCCAAGAGCTCCCGGGAATGCCCAGGAGTTCCAATAGGAGCGGCTGGGACGATCGGGTTCTGGGCCTGTTACAAACCTTGCAAACCCTCTGCCTCTCGGGTCTCTCAGGGCTGCATGGGCCTCGGGGCACTCAACTACTTGCTGAAGGCACGGTGGCGGATCTTGTTGCGACTCCAGCCTTGTCGTCGGGGGCTGCAGCGTCTCTCTCTCTCTCTCTCTTTCTTTGCAGGGCGGCAGGGCAAAGGTACCTGCACGCCACATGGATCGTCGTGCACCCTGGATCTTCAGGACCCTTGGACGTCGAAACGGAAGGCATCGGAACAGCAAACACATAAACGTCATGGGCATTACAGAAGCAGTTACAAGGTCAGGATATCAGCGATGCCCCCCATATCAGAATCAAACATACATGCTTGACGGGCCTGGCTTCTATGTTTCGCATATTCGCTGAAATCCGCCGATTTGGGTCGGTGTTCGTAGTGACGGTGTACCGCCAAGACTAATAGCATCTTGAATCTAGGCGTCCGTATGGCTTCATGCATGTACGCAATCACATAGCGTACTTTCCGTATAAAAATATATAGATAGATCTATTTTCGCGAAAGCCCGTGTCATGTGCCTGTACGCACACAGTTCAATCGATAGTTGTTTTGGCAGTGGAATGTGTTCCCTGCACGCATGCGCATGCTTTGACTCGCGCTATCATGAAGTCTACCCGCTTAACATGTTTGGACACATCGTGCATGATGTTGTCATAACTGATCATTGTGTGCATTCTGCAGTACTCGCTCCCATGGGTCGCGCTGCGGAGCTTCTCCAGCGTTTACCTCTGCAGAGCAAGGGCGAGAAGCGTATTCTGCTTCTGGGTTCCAGTTTGCATGCTTCTGCTACGTTTGACTTGCTGTTGTGCCATTCCTGATCTTCCACGTCTGCCAGCTGCATCAAATCAAGATAATCCCGCAAAGTCAATCCGTCTATGTCTCTCTTCGTTGGGGTGCTTTCCATTTCTGCTCGTTCGTTTTCCCGTGGCGGCGTGACATGTCTTAATGTCTCTGTACCTTCGTTTGCGTTGATCTCTGTGCCGATATTTGTCTGGTCTGACCGGTTCGGTCCAGGCTTGGCCCGCGCAGTATTTGTAGTCTCCGCCCATTCCTGTCTGTCTTTTCGGTCTCTGCCTCGCCTCTGTCCGCCGCCACCCATAGCCATCAGTCTCTGTTTTTGCAGCTCTGTCGCTTTCCGTCTGGGTGTACTTGTGTTCTGCTGGCGAGCCTCGCCAGGGGCTTCTGCCCAACGGTGCTGCCGCTCCTCTCGCCACGAGGGCCGAGGAAACTGAGGCCACCAGCGTCCCCCACCCCCGGGGTTCACCGTGGCTTAGGGAGGCCGGCAGTCGGCTTGAGGTCTGGCGACGCGTCGACAGGCGAGAGACTGGGCGGTGCGAGACGAGCCCGCTGCGGAGCGCGGCTGCCCGCGAGGTTTGGACGCTGCCGGCAAGACCACCGTGCTCCAGAAGCTCGCCCCGTGCTCCGAGCAGTCGCCGACGGCGTCGCAGAGCGCTCTGTGGGGGGGGGGAGGGCCTTCAGGGCAACGTCAGGGGGGGATGGGCTCCAGAGGGGACGCATCTACCCCAAGTCGCCCACTGATCGGCGATGGGGACCTGGTGGCGCACCCCGCGCACGAATGTGCGGATTCACTACCAGGGGCCTATCGCCGTTTCGTGAGCGATGTATCGCCGAATCCAGGTCGGGTCCCAACCTTTCGTTCCCCCTCGCAGCTGCAAAGAGGTCGACGATGATGACGGCGACGGCAACGACAGTGTGCGGCAGATGCAGAGTGGACGACGACGATGGCTGTGGCGACGAAGGGAGGAGGCTGGGCCCTGGGGGGGGTCGCTCCGCGGATTCCCCTCCACCCCCCCTTCCCTGCCCCCTCTCCTCTCGCCTCCTGCCCGATCACCTCGCTCCCCCTCGTTCTCCCGTCCTTCGCACCCTTGCCGTTTCGGCCTTCCCCCCGCAACCTTCTCCCTTCCTGCTTCGCCCTGTCCCTTCCCATTCTATCCTCCTCCATCCCCCTTCCACTCCCCCCTCTGTCCTCACTCCCCTCTTCCGCTTTCGTTGCTAAACTTCGCCCTATCCTTGTTCGCCGTTCCCGCTCCCCTTCCACCTTGTACCCCTCTCCGATCACGTCCTTGTTCGTCTCCCTTCTCATTTCTCATCTCCCTTATTTGTCGCTTTCTTCTTCGCCTTCGCCCGCCCCGCAGCCCTTGCCTCCTCCCTTCCTCATCCCCTTCCGTTTTAATTCCTTTCCACTTCCTGTTCCCCTCATTCATCCTCGCCACCGTCGTCCTCGTCCACGTCCGCCTTTCCTTTCCGTCCTCTCCCCTTACCCTTCTTTTCTTTTTCCTTTCCTTTATCTCCCATCCCATCTCGCTCGCTCCCTCGCACCGGCCATTCCCCTCGCCTGTCTCTGCTGCCACCTCTCTTCTGCGTTCCAAAAGCATAGCTCCAGTCTCGTGCTCGGCCGTCCTCTTATCATCTTCTAGGCCCGGCCGGGTGTCGATACCCCCGCGGCCTCAGCCGCCCTGTTGAGTGCCCGGCGCGGGAGCTCGGCGCCAGAAAGCCTAGGGCCGACAGTTGGGGCGCGAGGTTGTCTCCGCCTTTTGGGCGTTCGGGGGCCAGGCCCCTCAGCGGGGTGTCCGTGAGGGGGGGGGGATCGCCGCTGGGGGGGAGGGGTGGGATGGCAGGAGCGGGTGAGGTGGGGAGGACGGGGACAGGCGAGGGCAGTGCCCAGACGACGCGTCGGTTGTAGATGACGCGCGTGGACGGAGGTGCGTAATTGCAGTCCAGGCCATCGCCTCGGGTATCCTCGGGTTCGGTCGAGCACGCCAGCGTCAACTTGACCAGACAAACCAGGAGCAGGCGGACGAGGACGAGGGGGCGATGACGAGGCGAGGGGGGAAGGCAGGAGCGGGGAGGGCCAGGCTTGGGGCTCTCAGTGGGCCTGTCTGAGTCGGGGAGGAGTAGATTTCCCCAATCAGTGCTTGCACTGAAGGGGTCCTAGCGGAAGTTGAAAGATTTGGCGAAAGTTTCCCGCCGATTTTGGTAGCAGGCTGGGTTCCCGGGTTCCCGGTTCCGGGTTTCCGAGTTCCCGGTTACTGGTTCCGGGCCGATTTCGGTGGGTTTTGGGTTCCCGGGCTCTGGGGTTACCCGTCGATCTCCTCAGCGAAAACCATCCATTGATTGTTTTTTGTCTTTGGTGTATTTTTCGAGCACGTCGTCGGCCAGTCTGAACGCAGAGGGTGGTCCAGGCCATTCGCAGCCTTGCGAGCAGCCCACGACTTAGAAATAGACGCTAGCAGCTCCTCTCAGTCTGTCGTGCCATTGCATCTTCGTGAGTCGAGCCATGCTCTGTGGGCTCTGAGTCATGTTCTTTGCGCTCGAGAGACCCCTTGCCGAGACGTCCCCGTGAGCCAGTGACCGGTCTGGGTGACAACATGTCGCGCTGTGCAGAGAGGGAAGGTTTCCAGACCTCCTTCACTTCCTCTTGTCTGCTCCCGGGGCCCAGGCTTTTGTTGGACCCGGGCCAGTGTCGACACCCACGCCCGAACCCCGAAGTCCTCCTGCCCCCCCCCTCTCGGTGCCCCGTGCCCCGCAACGTTTTCCCCTCCCCGCACGTTGAGGGCCGCCGGGCTCCCCGCCCCGCCGTTCCTCCCCTGCCCCGGGAGGGCGAAGATGGGCCTTCTCCTGGCTTCCCGAGTGGAGGTTCAACGTGGAGACCGTCGCGCACAGGGGCAGGAGTCTGTCCATGTGGGACGTCGGGTTCGCGGGCCGCGACAAGATCCGGCCGTTGCTGCTCCCGTTCTACAAAGGTCAGCTGGCAAAGCAGATCCTCCCGCTCTTCTCGCCCGCCCCCTTCCCTTCCCCTCTGCTGACGGGCAGCAGTCAGTAGTCTGCACTACAGGGTGGGTTCCTCGAGACGCACCGATTGGGCGCTGCGGCGCGGTGGGCCCATCCCCGTAGTCAGCACAGCTTTGCTGGGGCGGCGCTCCCCTCCTTTTACAATTACACAATATGAAAATACTCTCCCACTTCCCGTGATGGCGTCCGGAAGATATTCGGCACCCCCCCGCGTACTGTTTTTTTACACAGGATTCCCCGGAGTTGGGTTTTCGCTTGCGTTTTTTTTCTAAAATGCTGCTCTCGCTGAGGCGCCGGCCTCATTTCTGCTCCCGAATCGTTCCGAATCGTGCTCCCGCTCCAGCGTGGGCCTCATTTTCGGATCGGTGTTTGGCCTCCGTCGTTGAGGATGGCGTTCTCGCCCCAGCGCGGGCCTCTTTCTCGCGCGCCCATCCGCCCGCCACCACCGCGCCGCACCACCACCACCACCACCACCACCACCACCACCACCACCACCACCACCACCACCACCACCACCACCACCACCACCACCACCACCACCACCACCACCACCAGCACCAGCACCAGCACCACCAGCCAGCACCAGCACCAGCACCAGCACCAGCACAGCACCACCACCAGCACCACCACCACCACCACCAGCACCACCACCACCACCACACCACCACCACCACCACCACCACACCACCACCACCACCACCACCACGACAACCACGCACACACGCACGCACGCACGCACGTGCACCACCACCCACTACGCACGCGCGCGCGGAGCCACAGGTCCGCTACGACACGCGTCCGCGGATAGAGAAAATCAGCGCCATGGTAAGGGATGGGAGGGAGGGGTAGGACGTCAGATATGACGCGAGCGCACCTAGCTTGCCTGTCCCCCCTCCCCATCCCCCTCCCCCTCCCCCTCCCCCTCCGCCTCCGCCTCCTCCTCCTCTTCCTCCTCCTCCTCCTCCTCCTCCTCCTCAAATGAAATAGGAGGGGTACAGGAGGGGTCGCTGCTGTTTGGCCCGAGCGTCGACGCGTATTTGTATATTGTACGGAGAGTTCAACAGTGCATTCAACATCTGATTGCCGCCATGCTTTCATACAGCTTCCCCCCCCGCTTTCCTAGTTTCGGCAACACCCCAACATACTTATACTATATGTGCGTCGCCCCCCCAGGGGCGACGCGCGCACCGAGAAATCTTATAGTATATGCGTCGTGGTGGGCGCTTTCTGGCCACACCGCTCGGGAAACGATATACTACAAGATGGGTATACTATATGTTCGGGTCGGACGCGCGCCTCCAAGGAGGACATATAGTACTAGTATGTCCATGTGCGTCCCATAGTTGGTAGCGGAGCTGGGAGCGATCCCAGCTCGCGATCCACGGGACGTACGAAGAGTGCGGTGTGGACGCGCATTCGCATCTGCCTTCACCTCCGCATCGGTACCACCCTTCCTTATTTGAGTTGCCTGTGATGATGGCTGTTCAGCAACCCGGTTGGCAGTTCGCATCGGACATCCTGTCCGACTGCGAGGGCAATCTTATATAGAAGGCGTAATCGCGATGAGTAGCGACTTGCCCACCGGAACGCCACGATATCCCTCGACCCATCGCAACCCCGTAGGCACTGGCCGCAACTTCGCGTCAGGCATGACTGCGGGGTCCTTCCTGGGTTAGCGCCGTGCTTCGGCACGTTTGCGATACTGCTGGCTGCCCTAGTGAACGCATCGCGCCACCCGAGTGGAACGTTCAATGCTCATGTACCAGTTTCACCGACTTCGGCTTTGACCAAGGTTGACAATGGCATCATCATGGTTGCCCCGCACTTCGACATGGCGTTCGTCCACGCGCGGGTCCGAGTCCCAAGGCGCCTACGCAACCATCCTCGTGGTGAGGTCTTATTGAGGAGGATATCCATCTTGACGTTCTTGGTCAGCATCCTCGTGTTCTCCGTGGCCGTCCTCGTCTGGTTCACCGGAATGATGCCTGCTGAAACAGGCCCGTAGGGCAGCGGCGGCCGCGGCGCCATCGCATCCCGCCGGCCGCCTTCATGGTCACCCGAGCGCGAGTCCATGTATCTCTTCCGCCAGTGGCTTCAGGACTTGCTCGCTTGGATCGTGCTAGCCACCGACATGGACATCGCTCAACAATGCGCTGTCGTCACCTTCAAAACCTCGGTGGGGCCACTTGGGACCTCGCGCGCTCCATCAACTTCGCGGATATGACGGAGGGAGGCATGGTCAACGGCCAGCAAGAGGACGCCGTGACCAACCTCATCGCGAATCCCGCGAATTCTTCGAGTTCTCGAAGCGACGCAACAAAACCTCCAACGCGCTGTTCTCCCGGTTTCTTACGCTGCGATTCCGGGCTACGCGCAACGGTGGAGCTGCGATGCCTTGGGGAGCCTACAGTCGGCTGCTCCTCCGAGCGGCGGCGTCACAGCTAGCCAACTCACGGCGCTGCTCCAGCCCCGCGACAACCGATGCCCAGCCGCAGAGGCCAGGTTCAACAGTCTCACGACTACGCTCAGGCGACGCGCGCCACCATAGTTCAGAGGTTTCCCGGGCATGACCAATGACGACAGCAATGACGCACATGGGCCCTGACGCACTCGAGGTTTCGACCGTTGGGCTGCCTGCGCCACCGACCTTCCCAGCGCCCCGGCGCAGGAGGTGCCGCGGCGCGCGCTGCTGGCGCGTCGCAGAGCGCCGCGCCGTCGCAAGCAGCCTCACCATCCGCCGCGCGGGCGCCCGCGAACGCGGCCGACAGCGACGCGGAAAGCTCCGCGGGCGCCAGCTCGGGCCCGGGCGGAGAGGGCATCTGCCAGGCGCCAGAGCTTTAGGGTCTTTGCCCTGCCCAGATAGATGGCCAGTTGATCTGGCAGATGAAAGACTGTTCAGCGACAGCGACGCAGACGCAGCGCCCTATACCAAGGTGCGTAGGATCATGAAGCAGAACAGCATCGCCGTCTCCAGAACCCCAGAAAAGGCAAGGAGGGCAAAGGCAAGGGTTCCCAGGAGCACGCATTCCAGCGGACTCCCAGATACCCAAGTCGATCGCGTTTTCTTCGGTGGAAAAGGACTGGGCAAAGGCGAACGCTCGCCAGGTAGAGGGAAAAGCAGACGCCGCAATCCGCAAGGCTATGACGGGACCGTCGTGACGCGCAGCGTCTGTGGGGGCGAGTACCACTTCCTTGATGAGTGCTCGCAAGGCGTCGCATCATCACCGCAGGGCAGTGGCAGCGGCGGCCGCTGGCTAATTCGGGGGCCGCGCAGATTCCAGACCCGTAGTCGGCGCCCTGGACTCCGGCCCCCTCGCCAGGATCTCGGGAGTTGCCATCGTGGTCGCTGAGGGCCCTCCCTCCGCGGCCGCGGCCAAGCCGCAGCGCCGCGCCAGCGCGGCCATCCGCCAGCGGCTCCTGGTAGATGCCTGGAAAAGTCAGTTGCTCGCGGTCAGCAGCCTCGCTTGCTGCGGCCCAGAGCCACGCGCGCGCCGACGCGTCAGTTGTCTTGCAGCCGCCTCAGATGTTCGGCGTTGCAGCGCCAACTTCAGGGCCGCCTCGACTGCCAGCGCTGCCGCCGTTCCCCGGCACGGCCGCCGCCTCGGAGCTGGTCGGCTCCGTGGGGCCCCCGCGAGATGAGCCTCGTCGACCAACGGAGCGGCGCGGGCGCCGCCGTTCTTTCGTTGGGCCAACCCGTGGTTCTTGATAATCATCGCATCGCCATCCCTCGCGTCAGTGGCCGCGGCCAACTCGCGCGCCTACGACGGGGTCAGCTAGCGCAAGCTGCCCTGCCAGACAGACAGCAATGCCGCGGATATGCGCGCCTAGCTGAAGTGCCGACTGCGGCTTTCAGGACCGACGTGGCGCGCGACCTGGCCCTTTATATTTTCACCTAGCTGTCTCCCATGGCCAGATTGGAGGCCGACCGCGACGCCCAGATGGAACAACGGCGTGCTCGCCGACGCGAGCGTGCCCATGAGATGATCGACATTGTCGCGGCTGGATCTCCGACCGTCGCGCCACCGCCGCTGCCGTCGGATCCGCGCGCAGACTCGCAACTCGCTGGAGTTGCACCGATGATGTGCGGCATTTGTTTGGACCTCTGCGTCAAATTTGATCTCGCTGTCGCCCTTCAACGCGGCCATCGCTGCCATCGAAGCTGCGCCGACACCTGGGCCACCACCAGCTGCAACGACGCCCGGAGTCGAGCAGTGGGAGAAGCGCTTCGTGGCGACCAGGACCGAACGCCATTCTCACAATGCCCAACATGCATGCGATGTCTGGTGGTGCGCTAGGTCACGCGCAGCCAAGTAGCCGCGCCCAGCGGAGCGCCCTAGGAGGACGCGTCTTCTGGCGCTAACGGGGCCGTTCACAACACGAGACGCACCAATCGTCGAGGTCACCTCTGGCGCTCCTGCATCAACCTGGCGACGTCCCCCACCTCGAGGCTCGCCGCGGGGCGGCGAAGCCGATGTGCTTCCCTGGTGGCCGTCCGCTGGCCCAGCAAACGAGCGTGCCACTCGGGCGCGTCGCAGTCGCGCCCGGCTACCTCCAGGTGAGCTCAGTGTCATTGTGGGCGCTTGCCCGCCAGCTGCGCCGCCGAGCGGTTGCGGCAGGGCGCCGGCCGCGGCGGCTCCCCATGAGCAAGCCCTTGTGCATCCAAGGCGTTGGCAACGGGGTCAAAGTCAGGCCACAACGCCTCGGCAATGAATCCTCTTCGGATTTCGAAGCATCTCGGTGGGCGCAAAGAGCCGGCGAAACGCGAGGAAAGCGTCTTTGAGATTCGCCGCGAACGTGTTGATTGCGCGTGCTCCCAGCGGTCGTGCGTATCATCGGCTAGTGTTGCCGGCGTTCTTCATGGGACTTCAACGCTTGCACGGCGTGTATAGACATGTCTTCCCTCTCCCCTGCCTCGGCCTGCTCCTCCTCATCGCTCAGCAGGTGCGGATGT